TATGTGTTTTAGGTTCCCCTCATATGAGCATCTGAAGGCGTTTTGGAACTTGATCGAGGCAGCAACAGCCAAAATGGTCAGGGTCACCAGAGCAAAGAAAACCGACGTCATGAGTACAACAACTGAAACCCCTTTTACCAGACCAACTGTAAGTTACACACACACACACACACAATGAGAATGCTGGTTTTGAACTAACATTTAAATAATTTTCTGTCCAGAAACTGCTGCCAATAGATGAGCTTTTTCTTTTCCTCTCCTACCTGTCTACTGGATGTACCCAGAGGGAACTGGGCCATCGATTTAACATCCACAGAGCAACAGTCAGCCGCATTATTGTGACATGGGCCAACTTCCTGTACTGCTTATTGGGCTCAATTTGTGTGTGGATGTCTCCTGCAGCTGTGAGTTCCAGTCTTCCACAGGATTTTGATGGCCGCTACAGTGACACACAAGTTATCCTGGACTGTACAGAACTACGGTGTCAAACACCTTCATCCCTGCTCCTCCAGAGTGAAGTCTTCTCCACCTACAAATCCCACTGTACCTTTAAGGCCATGGTGGGCATGTCTCCTCACGGAGCCCTGACATTTGTGTCAGCACTGTTTGAGGGTTCCATGAGTGACAAGGAAGTGTTCCGTCAATCAGGGATTACATCACTCTTGACACTGGACATGGCCATCATGGTGGACAAGGGATTCTTGGTGGATGATCTCGTACCTGGGACTGTTCATCGTCCTGCCTTCCTCTCCAAGAGGGCCCAAATGTCAGAGGTCGACGTTTTGAAGACCCAGTCCATTGCCCGTTTGAGGGTGCATGTTGAGAGGTTAATAAGAAGAGTTAAAGAAAATAAACTCTTTGATTCCACTATCCCTCTCTCCATTGCAGGAAGCATAAACCAAATTTTTACAGTAGTCTGTCTCCTGTCAAATTACCAAAATGGACCTTTGGTCAGGAAATGGAGATATGAAGTTTGACAGAAAAGCTGATGGCACAGTCTTGAAGAAACAGAAAATGCTGTCATTTACTTACATTGACATTGTCTTACATTTGTAAATAGATATTCATGATGGAAATATTTTGAAACAAATTTGTACATTTGATTTGATCAAACTCCTAATTTAGACATTTCTGCAGGTAAACATAGAAAAAATATCTGTCTACTTTGTGTTTGATTGAATCCATCACATTAGTGTCTGCATAAATTCTTTGAATAAGAATATCTTCCTCAGCTGAGACAACAAAATCACACCAGTTCATCCCAGTTATTAGCATCTGCCCCTGAACCTGCCAATAGTAAACATGAGTTTTTTTTAGTTCCAATTTGCCTGACTTCATTTGGAGATATGGACAGTCAACATAACTTTTCACATTTGGACACTTAATCTCAATCAGCCCGAACTGACATGGCTCAGAAGGATCAAAGATCAATCCGTCTGGAGATGCCCCTAGCCAAGGAGCATCAGGGTGAATCACAAATCCACAGGGATAGTGGTTGACTCTTTTAATTTGACAATATTCCCAGATAGCATCTGCCTCTAATTCAAGCCCTCTCTTCATAGCTGCAGTCTGATAGGTCCCTTGCAGCAGACGATTTGCCAGATCTTCCTCAGATTTATCTCGAACCTGGCAGATCTCCCTGAAGCGGGAGGCAGTCAACCTATGCCTCCTTAGCTGATGCCATTCAGGACATGTACTCTGTGCTCTGGTAGCACATTCAAATTTATTCACCATGTCCCAGGTGACCTCCATACTTTTAAGGTGTAGCTGTTGTGGTTCAGAACAAACAAACATGCTTTTTGATGGCTGTAGGTGGTAGTTCTTAAGAGGCAGAGATGGGCGGGGTGGTGCAGCATGGAAGGACATGTCTCTCTTTGCTGTTGCTGGCTGTTGGTAGGACAGAGGACTTCCAGCCTGAACTTTGCCAAGGGCAGAGTCAACAAGGGGAAATTCATGGCTGATTCCCATGCTGCAGATCATTGGTGCATCAGCTGCTGCAAAATCTTCATACACCTCGGAAACCTGGGAAAGTGAAAACAATTATTTCAATAAAATGTAAAATACATGTATATCAACTAATTTTAAGCCCTCAAAAATTCTACACTTTACAAAGAGACAGCACTTGAAAATAAAATTATTCAATACACCGGTAAGTCTACAACTCTTTGTTAGTACATTGTAGCCTACTGTTAATTTCATTTTTATTTATCAGTAATTTAAATACAACTACTTACTCTAAGGACAGAAAGGTCCGGCAAATCCCCACTAAGGCCTTTGTAGAGTGTGCTCCTGTGTATATAAATAAGAAAAGAACATGAGTCAAAAATAGAATACCCACCTGCATTTCGTTCAGATATGAAACATAAAATAATAGTGTTTTTCAAGCCTGGTCCTCAAGGCACACTGTCCTGCATGTTTGAGATTTGTCCCTGCTTAAACACAGCTCATTTCAGTTGGTAACTGATTAACAACTGTATCAGCTGTGTTAATGCAGGGAAATCTATAAAGCATGCAGAGCAGTGTGCCTTGAGGACCAGGGTTGAGAAACACTGTTGTAATACATCAGAATTTTTATTGATTTTTTTTTACCTTACACCCTCTGTTGTTGCTCCACTCTTCGGTTTAGCAGACAGCACAGTCATCTTGTCCACGGGGCCAGGTTTTATACCCTATTCAGTTATCCATGACACAGTTACAAGTTATACGGCAAGAAAATGTAATAAATTGAGTCTATTATTGAAGAGAAAACTTACTAAAGTTCTGGGCTTGTGCCACTGCTGTTCTCCTTCTGTACAGCTTAGTACAGGGGGGACCACTGACAGTTTCAGCTCAGAATAATGTGCTGACTGGAACAGCAAAGCCACACAGTGGTTGCATAATGCTGCACCAGCAACACACGTACAGCTGTGGTGAATCAGCTCCACAGGACACGAGTCTTTCAGGACCACCTGCATAAGAATGTCATAGTAAGAACTTATTATCTTAGCTTGGTCACTCATCAGCCATTCTTTCATGATGCAATCTTGCTTCCCAAATATTTTTTTATAACTAATGTCATAGAACCATAGTATCATGTTATGTGATTATATATTTAGTTTCATTTTTCTTCATGGACCTGTGACACAGAGCCCTGACAACGACTTCACCTGTGTCCTGATTTTTGCTAGAAACTGAGAAGAGCAGAATGTTAGTAGAATGATCACAAAATATGAGCCTTTTGTTTAAGTGTGGAAAACCTGTTTCTATAACGTGAGTATACACAAAAATGGTCGTGTTGCTAATAGCCTAACGTTAGCTGCAAACAGTTAGCAACATCACAACGATCAAACTAACGTTACTTACCCTCGTAGTTGTGCAGGTAACTTGAGATATACAATTTAAATCCCTTGTTACGTTTGCTTGTCGGAGCAGGGGACCAGGCATCAACAATACGATGAACATCGCTGATATTTATCTTGGGCAGCTCTTGTAAACATCTAGAAAACGCCTCTTTCACCGAGACCGGGGATTAGACCGGAAACTGGAATGCCGACATCCGGTCAAAGGGGAAGTGATTCAGGACGCATGTGCACAGGCCCAAAAAAAAAAAAAAAATCCAGTATCGTGCATCCTTACACTTTGAGCAACATGAACCCTTTCCAATACAGACACGTTAAAACTTGAGTAGTTTTAACTGTGTGATTTTAATTAATTTTTAATTATATATCTACCAATTTTATTTTTCTTGCTAAGCACTTCTGGATAGATGCAAACTGCATTTCATTGCTTTGTACCTGTGACATGTGCAATGACATTAAAGTTGAATTCTATTCTATTAATTAACAGTAAAGTAGAAGCCACTGAACCACCGCTAATGTCTTATGAAGTGTCTTTTTAAACATATTAAGCACAAAGCAAATTAATCTTTTGTACGAGTTTTGGCTCCTATATGTTCTTATATATGTTTGTAGCACTCTTTCAAACACCACTGTAAAATAAGTAAACATGCACAACACGCAGGTCCATGTGGTCCTACATCGTCGTCGTTCTTTAGGGAAGTGTGCAGCTTCTGCCACAAGATCTTATGTCACTAAATATAAATAATTTTATAACTTTAATTCTGTATTTTTGTTTTCTTCAGATGTCGATCAACTGTTTGCGACCAGAGAGGAGTTTCCTTCTAAGCAGCATCTCTGGAGTCTCGACCAGGAGGACCAAAAGCCCTCAGACCTCAAAACAGAACAAGAAGAGTCTGAAATCACAAGGTCCAGCTCTGCACCTGTGAAAAATGAGGATGATGAAGAGAAACGTCGTTCTTCAGAGCTTCATCACAGCAAGACTAAGAAGAACACATACTCTGTGGGACCAGATCCAGATCGGTGTTTGGAATCAGATTTTAAAGACAAAATGTCCGATTCTTCAGAGACGGATGTCAGTGATGGAAACTGGGAGGAGAATAAACCTCAGTCAAGTTTAAACTCTGTCCGAAATAAAGTTCCTGTAGGTGGTAAAAGATGTGAGAGCAGTAAGAAGGTTTACTGCTGCGCTAAATGTGGTAAAACATTCAAACGCAAGTCATCTCTGGTGAGACACAACAGAATCCACACAGGGGAAAAACCTTTCAGCTGCTCCGACTGCAAAGCAACTTTTGCATTTAAATACCGCTTAGTGCATCACATGAAGATGCACAACAGAGAAACACCTTTCAGCTGCTCCGTTTGCAAAGCAGCCTTTTTATTTAAATACCGCTTGGTTCGCCACATGAGAGTCCACACCAGGGGGGAGTCTTACAGCTGCACCGTTTGTGGTAAAAAGTTTACTAGGAAAAACTGCCTGGTTTCTCACATGAGTCGTCACACAAAACCTAACCATTGCCCAATCTGCGGGAGATGCTTTGTTCACAGGTCCAGTCTAACGTCTCATATAAGACTTCACACAGGAGAGAAACCCTTCAGCTGTTCCATCTGTCAGGCAGCTTTCAATCGGAAACAAAGTCTTGAACTACACACAAAAACTCACAACGGAGAGAAACCTTTCATCTGTTCGATCTGTCGGGCAGCTTTCAAATGGAGAGCAACGTTTGAACGACACACAAGAACCCGCTGCGGGAAACCTTTCAGCTGCGCAGTTTGTAAAGCTGCCTTTAGAAAGAAACTGCATTATCTGGAACACACAAGATCTCACAAAGGTGAATAATCTTAGTCTGCTCAAGGCTTCAGTAAGTTTAGATTTCACTTGAAGTGTCTAACCTTTATTTAACCAGGCAAATCCCAGTGAGATCACAGATCTCTTTGTAAGGGAGGTCTGGGTCTGAAAGCAGCCTAACATGCATGTTTTTTGGTCTGTGGGAGGAAACCGGAGTACCCGGAGAGAACCCACGCAAACACAAGAACAACATGCAAACTCGACACAAAGACCCCAGGTCCAACTGGGGATTGAACCCAGGACCTTCTTGCTGTGAGGCAACAGTGCTAACCACTGATCCATCGTGCTTCATGCACTTCTTGGCACATAAAAAATGCACAAAATATAAGGCTTTCTGCTGGTAAAGATAGACTTTTTATATCAAACTTATATTTAAAATCATTAAGAAAACTAATATTTGATCCACAGTAACAGTGTTTTAACTGGAAGTTTGTATTTTTTATTATTAAACTAGTTGTTAGAACTCAAAAATTATGTATATACTGTATAAATTTATATTATTTTGTTAAAAAAGTATTAAAAGTCAATGTAAAAACAAGTTTGAAAGTAATGCCACATAGTAAAAAGAGTTTTGCTCCATTGATATCTGTGGCGGCTGTGGCTGAGTAGTTAGAGCAGTCGTCCTCCAATGCAAGAGTTGGGGGTTCAAATCCACCAGCAGTCACATGCCAAAGTGTCCCTGGGCAAGACACTGAACCCCCCGTTGCCTCCAATGTGTGTCCCATCGGTGTATGAATGTGATAAAGCTCTGATTATTCTCTTAAGAATGATTTATTCAATTAGTTTTGTAGAGATCTAGTAGAGTGCTGTATGAATGGGTAAATGAAGGCACAGATTGTGTTGTAAAGAGCTTTGAGTGTCTCGATAAGATATTTATTCATTCATTTAAAAGAAACAAATTAATCTAAAAGAAAAACATTGAATGAAAACAGTGCAGAAAGAAGAATGCAAATTCTTATAATAAAAAGATATAAAGACGCTATACAAGTACAGTCCTTTTACTACCAACAAGTGATGGATGGATGTGTAAAGTGTTTTTTTCAGGCACAAAAATTATATTTTAAACTGTAAAATTTGATAAATTCTCGATAGAATTGATGTCGATGGTTTTAGTGATGACTAAAACAGTTTCCTGTAACTTGTATCTCTTCTCTGCAGACATCCAGCAGCTGGTAGTTTCCAAACATGAGTTTCCTCCTGAGCGACAGAACTGGAGTCCCAGACTGGACAAGAAGGCTGATGTCACAGAGTCCACCATCGGTTCTGTCTCTGTGAAGTTTGAAGATGATGAAGGAAAACCTCACTCCTCAGAGCTTCATCTAAACCAGACTAAGAAGACCAGAGACTCTGAGGGACCAGCTCCAGATCAATATTTAGAATCATATCCTGAAAACAAAACTTTGTCTTCTCCAGACAGTCGTGGATCAGCTGGGCCAGTTCACAACAGAAACAACACGGGAGAAAAAGCTTTCAGCTGCTCCATCTGTAAGACAACATTCAAACTGAAAACGTCTCTAGTGCTACATACACGAACCCACTCTGGAGTGAAACCTTTCCGCTGCTTTGTTTGTAAAGTTGCCTTTTTAACTAAATATACTTTAATGCAGCACACGAGAACCCACACTGAAGAGAAACTGTACAGCTGGAACCAAAAAATTGCTTGGGTGTCAGCTGCCAAAGCACATCAACGCTTCAGTTCAGACAAAGAATGAAGCAGAGGTTACAGCCACTGAATAGACTGATGCTGTTTATGATGAACACAAAGACAAAAGACAGGACAAACAAAACCACTGTCCATGTCAACAATTTAGGAGGTTTGATGGTCTACTTGTAAACATGGCACTCCCCGCACCACTGACTGGCATTTACATCATATTAAATGTGTATATTTATTTTGGTCAGTTTAAAAAATGGTTATTGTGATTACCTTATGAACTTAATTATCACACCACACCTGGTATACACAGATATTTAATGGCAAAGGCAGGGCTCGTCACAGAAGACATGATTTTCAGTTTACCTGCCGTCTAGTTTTTCTAGACCCGTCACTTGTTCTTTTGTCATTGATGAGCTAAAATTGTTGAAAAACACAATTCAAAGAAATTCATTAGAAATCCGTTGTATTAAAAAAAAATTGTTAAAGCACTTTAAATAAATATGCAAACATATAAAATGCATAAAAAAACAACTAAATAAAAGCGGTTAAAACATTGAATTGAAGAGTGCACTACTGTTGTGATAAAAATGAATTCTGTGGGAAGTTGCTTATTCTATTATTTAAAGTTATAATGGCTGTAGTGTAAACAATGTATTTTTTATTGTTTTTATTGACCTGGGACACTTAAAGGTTAACTGTTGAAACACGATGCCTACGATGTGATGGACTGCTGCAAGTGTCCAACACGCTATGATGACGTGCAGGGAAATAAAATAAAGATGTGTATTTGTGAAGCTTTTTGAAGCTCTCAGTATTTAGACATTTGTAGCCAATAAAGTCAACTGTTTCCATGCATGCATCAGACATTTGTGCCTCCTGATGATGTTATATCAAAATCAAAGTGTTTATTTATTATTAATTCTTAATCCAAGCACTTGTTCAATACAGATAAAAATATGTTTTGGTTCAAATGCAGTGTATGGTATTTCATCCTGTGTTTGTGGTGTCATTTATTTAACCTCCAATCTCTTATTGTGAAAGCACACTAGGAATGTTGGCATCCTGTTAACCCGGAAGTGATTTTCTTGTCTGTAAAATCTGTCAACGGATTTAATTTCTGTTCTATCAGTGCGTTAATTCTCCATGCTGACCCATTCTTATGTGTCTCTTATAAACGCACCAATGGATGTTGTGTTCTTGACCTCATTTGTGAATAATTTTTAATTCGAGTTGTTTCCCGGAAGCTACAAAAGTCCGAACCGTTAGCTTTGCGTGTTAGCCGAAAGCAGCATCATGAGGAGTGGACAAAAGAGCCACCGAGAAGATGTGATGGAGAGCAGACTGTGCTTCTGATCTTGGAGATTGGGAAGAGCAAAGTTTGGGCTGTGATCTTGAATCCTCGGAACTATTTGAGGCAGACGAACCAACAGGCTGAGCAGATGGACCCTGACGGTATCCTCTTACTGTTCTTTGTCATGAGTAAAACCATTTTTCACCATCTTTGTGCATTGGTCTGATCAGATAAGGAAGTTCTGATTCCCCTTAGAACTTATTAGATTCTTTATTGCTTCTTTTATTTTAAGGCTAATGGAGTAAGTAATGCATTCTTCAGGTTGTCCTGCTAGTTAGAGACAAGTTCACCCTTAAGAAGAGTTGTTCAAAGTTCAGCTCTCACTTTAAACTGAATTATTTCATGCTCATACTTCACCAATTAAACGCTTTAAAGTCACACTCCCATAATGAACTAGTATGATGTGTTTACACAATAAGGGCCTTTAAAAGGAATTCATGTTTAGTAGATATTTAGTCTATCATCATATTAATGATGTTATTATAATAAATGCTTTCTGCAGCTGTTGTAACATATAATCAAACCGCACTCACACAACCCATCACTGTTAGTTTAGTTATTACATTTAATCATAATTATAATGACACTCATGCAGCACGGTGGCACATATGGTAGAGCTGCTGCCTCTCAACAAGCAGGTTCCTGGTTCAAATCCTGGTCCGGGGCCCTTTCTGGGTGGAGTTTGCATGTTCTCTCCGTGCACGCGTGGGTTTTCTCCGGGTACTCAGGTTTCCTCCCACAAATCAAAAACATGCATGTTAGACTGATTGGTAACTCTAAATTGTCTCTAGGTGTGAGTGAGAGAGTGAATGGTTGTTTGTCTCCATGTGTCCCTGTGATGGACTGGAGACCTGTCCAGGGTGTCCCCCGCCTCTCGCACAGTGATTGCTGGACATGGGCACCAGCGACCCGAAAAGGAAGAAGCGGGTAAAGATAATGGATGGATGAATAGAATGACACTCTTACAAGCCTGAATTTAAAAAATTTAGATATCCCCCAAAATACTAATAAAATTACATTTGAAGGTCTCCAAAGATGAGGCTTTATTAAAAAGTGTTTGAGATGCCTACATAATTTTTAGACTTAGTTTCAATGCAGATAACCACAATTTTATATTTTTTATACATTAAGGTGTTGCAGATATCTGACGTGTCATTTATCCCGAGACAAATTATGTTAATTTTATTATTTGTGCATATTATCTTTATTCCTGTTGATCTTTGTTCTTACTGTATAGTATCCTTGGGTGTCATGAAAGGCGCTTTTTAAATAAAATGATTATTATTATTATATTAGGCTTTCAGCTCCAGATTTCCACAAGTTATTTTACAGAATGAATGATACCAGATAAAAAATAAACAGGTCACTTTTCAAGCATCTAAGTGTAAGAGCCACCCACTCTTGAACAGAACAATGTAAAATGTTTCAGTTTTGACTTTTGCTTGCTTGGTTCAGGGTTCTCATGTAAAAAAAAAAGATTATATTCAAAATTCACAAAAATATTAACATGCTTTTCCTTAACACAAACCTGGGGCAGATTTGACTAATTTATTTTGTCTGAGTTAAAAAAAAATTATGTTTTGATAGTAATTGTTCTGACAGAGAGAACCTTTGCATACAGTTGTTATTAAAAATGCTTTTACTAAATGTTGCTCTATTAATGTATGCAAGACATCATAGGTAGTCTGTATGGTGGTCCTAAGGTGTAAATGAACAACGTTTGAAAAAACGAAATTACACTAAACCAAACGGGAAGTTTTTTTTATTTTATTTTAACTTTATTAACAGCATAAAACCAAACAACAGAACAATATACACACACAACGGAGAAACAGTTAAAAGGATAGACTGCTAACTGGATCTCCGTTGTGTGTGTGTGTACTGTATATTGTTATGTTGTTCGGTTTTATTCTGTTAATAAAGTTTTTTTTTTTTTAAACTTCCTGTTTGGCTTAATGCAATTCCGTTTTTTCAAATGTCATTCCGTTTTTGTTTTGTTTTTTTCAAATGTGATTCCATTTTTTCTAATGTGATTCGGGCCACTTCCGCTTTGGCCACTTCTGCTTTGACAATGTAATTCCATCCATTATCTTTTACCCACTTCTTCCATTTTGGGTCACGGGGTTGCAGGTGCCCATGTCTGTCAATCATTGTGCAAGGGGCGGGGTACACCCTGGACAGGTCTCCAGTTCATCACAGGGCCACATAGAGACAAACGAGACAAACAACCATTCACTCTCTCACCACACCTAGGGACAATTTAGAGTTACCAATCAGCCTAACATGCATGTTTTTGATCTGTGGGATTCAGTTTTTTCAAATGTAATTCCATTTTTTTTTTTCAAATGTAATTTTGTTTTTTCAAATATTGTTCATTTATACCTTAGGGCCACCGTAATTATGAGTAAGGTGGATAAGTTTGTTAAAAATCTCATAAATTGATATAGAGGTATCAGGAGCCAAAACACACTGTGACCTCCTGTTTTTCTCTCTGTCATGTCTGAATGATTCTGCAGAGCATTCACAAGCAAGTGACCAGTATTGAATGTCATCACTTTAATAAATTGATGAAAGCAATAAAGTAAAAATTTTCAGCTCTGAAACAGGTTTTTGACAACAGACTTCCTGTTGCTACTTGTTACTTTAAAAGTGAAGGTTTGTGAGTGAAGGCAAAACTTCAGACGCAATGAAAGGTTTGCATTAGACATAAACTCAAAGAATTTTTAGGAAAAAATGATGTTGTGATTGTTTGTTGTGATTCTTTTTTTGTTTCTGTTTCCTGCAGATGTCCAGCAGCTGTTGCTGATAAAAGAGGAGTCTCCTTCTGAGCAACAGAACTGGAGTCCCAGTCTGGACGACAAGCCCCCAGAGATTAAAGAGGAACAGGAGGAGGCTGAAATCACAGAGTTTATATTCAGTCCCGTTCATGTGAAAAGTGAAGATGATGAAGAAAAACCTCAGTCCTCAGAGCTTCATCCCAACCAGATTGAGGAGGACAGAGCTTTTGTGGGACCAGAACTTGATCAATATTTAGAATCTGATTATTTAAAAGTGAATGTCAGTTATGGAAGCTGTGAGGAGAGCAGTGAACCCATCTCAGGTGATGCAAGATCTGAGAGCGGTCAGAAGTTTTACAGCTGCACTGAATGTGGTAAAACATTCTACCAGAGGTCAGATTGGTTAAGACATGGAAGAGTCCACACAGGAGAAAAACCTTTCAGCTGCTCGGTCTGTAGAGCAACTTTTGCGTGGAAATATGCTGTAATACAACACATGAGAGTCCACACCGGAGAGAAACCCTTCTGCTGCTCCGTGTGCAAAGCAGCTTTTACGAGGAGATTTTCTTTAGTGCAACACATGAGAACGCACAGTGGAGAGAAACCTTTCAGCTGTGCTGTTTGTGAGGCTGCTTTTTTCAGGAAAGGTAACTTACTGCAGCACATGAGGATACACGGTTCAGACAAACATTTCAGCTGCTCTGTTTGTAACAGGAAGTTTACAAGGAAAACTAGCTTACTGCAACACATGAAAAACCACAGTGGAGAGAAACCTTTCAGCTGCTCCCTTTGTGGTCAGAAATTAAGTAGCGAGGTAGGTCTAAAATATCACATGAGGATCCATACAGACAATAAACCTTACAGCTGCTTTTTTTGTAACAAAGGTTTTCAGTGCGAGACTAATTTAATGGAGCACGTAAAGATTCACACCGGAGAGACACCATATAGTTGCTCGGTCTGCGGCCAAAGCTTCAGCCACAAGTATGCCGTGACTCGTCACATGAAATGTCACAGCGAAGAGAAACCTTACAGCTGCTCAGTTTGTACAGCAGCGTTTAAAAGGAAACAGGATTTGAGGGGACACTTAAAAATCCACACCGAGGAAAGGCCTTTCGTATGTTCTTTTTGTAGTGCAGCTTTTAAACGGAAAATCACTTGTGAAGAACACTTAAGAATCCACACCGGAGAGAAGCCGTTCAGCTGCTCGGTCTGCGACCAGAGGTTCACTTACAAGTCAAGTCTCACTCATCACATGAAAGATCACACGGGAGAAAAACCTTTCGACTGCTCAGTTTGTAGAGCAGCGTTTAAAAGAAAACCGGATTTAGTGGAACACGCAAAAATCCACACAGATGACAGATCTTTCATATGTTCTTATTGTAACGCAGCTTTTAAACGGAAATCCACTTTAGTGTCACACATAAGATCACACACTGGAGAGAGGCCTTACAGCTGCTCAGTGTGCGGTCAGAGCTTCAGCTACAAATCAAATCTGAGTTTTCACATGAAAAGTCACACAGGAAAAAAACCTTTCAGCTGCTCAGTCTGCAGGGAGAGTTTCAAATTTAAATCAACTCTTTTGCACCACGCAAGAACGCACAAAGAAGACAGGCCATTTAGCTGTTCCATCTGTAATGCAACTTTCAGGTATAAACGTTATTTAGAGCCACATGTGAAAAGCCACGCGGGAAATCTACCTTTCAGCTGCTCTGTTTGTAAAGCAGCTTTTCGAAGGAAACGGGATTTAGTGAAACACAAGAATTCATGCACATAATTAACCTCTCAGCTGCACAGTCTGTTCAAATCTTTAGTATGGTTAAAAATGTCCTAATGTACTAAAAGTTTCAGGATAAATGATGGGAAAATAAAATGTATTCTTGTTATTACAATGAGTTTTGTTTTACTGAAAGTTCCACTCTGCTCATAGCTTTTGTAAAATTCATTGTGATTGTAAAAGTCAATGTTTTCGTATGAATTTCAAAAGAAAGGTGCATGAGTTAAATACTTGAGCTTTTTTAAAGTTTATTTTAGCCTGTGACTTGTGTCACACACTAGCTGAACATTTTAAAACAAACTTAAGACAATGGCTTTTTTTTTTTTTTTTTTTTGACAACATATTTTTTTTAAACTTGTGATTTAAAAAAAAAACAACCTTTGGTATAAATTACAATTGTGACAATTTTTATGACTAAAACTCATAATTGTGACATCTCATTTTCTACCTGGATTATTGAGCATGCATCAGGATATCATATCTCATTGATTTTTTTAAGTCATAATTATGACAGTTTTTTCATCCTAACTTTAAAACACAACTTATTTTTTATCACTAATTTGTTTTTGACGCTTTTTGAAGCCAAATACAGAAAATAAAACTGAACTGGTGTCTGAGCAGTTTGTTTACATGATGATGCGCAGCTGCTTCCATAACCACCGGCGTTAGGTGGCGGTAGAGCTCCAACTCATTGTTGTTACATACATAAATAAGTCCAACGAAGAAGAAGAAAAACTGCTTAAGTTTTTTAAAAGCAGAGCCGTGTATATCCGTCATGCTGATTCAGTCTTCAGTGAATCTTGTCATTTTAATGGATGCTTGGCTTTTTTTCTTTCTTGTGGACTATTTTATTTTGTTGCTGAGTTGTCTTCGGCAGCGCCAAGTGTTAGCGTAGCATGTTAGCTTAGCATGTTAGCTTAGCATGTTAGCTTGTTTGAACAGCGAGTCAGAGCGACAGTTTGACGGAGAGCAGACCGTGTTTCCGATGGAGAATAAGACAAGTACGTTCTCCTGTGATCGTGTGAAAATCTCAGCAACTCAGACGTTAAGAGAGTTGCAGAAAAGACAGCTAACTGAGGGAGATGAAGCAACACAGTGAGTATTATTTATACAACTGAAGACTATTTTTAAACCTGCAAAAAACAAACGCCCTACACGGATGAAAATATGAATATGAGAGAAAAGTACAAATTAAGTTAAACAGTTTAAAATGCATGTTTTCTGCCGTAATTTGAACACTGACAGTAAAGTTATGGATCAAAAGACAAACGCATAAAACATTTGTTCTGCAACTGAGAGTTGCCAGATACAGACATGTGTATGAGCGTGTTTTGGTTGATTCTATAAATCTGTGTGTAAACCTAATTGTAGAGGAATGTTTTGTCCTCTACACAGTCATGAGAAACCAATCACAGAGCCAACTCAAGGATAAGGGATTCCCTTGCTTACTGTAATCTTCATGTTTATTTGGACAGAGAAGATGGAAAGTTTCTCACATGTCAGAGAGAAACACAGGAAGGGGTATGGAGTTCAGCTTTACAGCACATACAGTGCAGATTTTAATATAATCACCTGTCAGTGTCACATTCATTTGCATGTAACCTAAGACTTGTGTCATGTGGACTAAACCAACAAACACTCAGCAGAAAAGGAAAGGAGAGTGATTTACAAGAGTTCATAAACACAGTTTAGTTTTACAGTTTGCAAATTGTTGCAGAGGTTTGCAGCTTTTCAGTTTGAATTGATAAAGCTCCTTGGATGAAAAGAAAAAAAGCATTAAAAAAACAAAGTTCATTCAGACTTGTTAGGTTTGCCATGTCCCAGATTACCACTAGCCTGCACCAACATGATGCGAAACATAGATTGGCTCTTGAATGCTGAAGGTCTGTTTTGCAGAATACTTTGTAACAATTTAAAACAGAGACTATTGTGGTTTATTTCATTTGAACTAGTGGTCATTGGTAATTTATTTTTAATAAATATTACTGGTCTTCTCTTCACTTTCACAACCACACTGATTTCTATTAATTTATAAAACCCTCTGTTAAAAACCTCTGTTCTTTACTCACTGTTTATATTAATTCATAGTATGATCCTCCTTATTCTAGCAATACATTCACCTGTGCACCTGTCTTAAGCGTGCACCTCCTTTGGCTGTTAGTCATGTCGGTTTTCTGCTGCTTGTGATTGCTCTGTAAGGACATCGTGATCCTTACAGCTGTTTTTAGCAATCTAATGTTTACTTTTTATTGTTAGATTTTTACTCATTTATCTGTTTTAGCTGTTTTATTGGTATCCACGTTGTTGGTCTGTGCAATTTGATGTTGGGTTGTCTGTTGTGTAAATGTTAGGGGTGCACCAATAAATCGGCCGGACGATTTATCCGCCCCGATTTCCTTAATTTTGGGAACTCGGAAATCAGATACTTACATGAGAAACCAATTTTTTTTTAGTTTAAACAACGATTGTCTGAACTTCATTTATATTTCAGAGCACTGCCTCATGGCCAGTTAAAACAAGTTTGTATTGTTTCTACTGTTCAAGGGTACGTTTTTCAACAAAATAATATTGGAAAATTGAAGATGCATTGTGACCTTATAACACCTGGCAGTGTCGTTTATAAAACAAAATCGGAATTGACAGGTCAGATTTTTTTAGAAATCGGTGAACGGAGATCAGCCTGAAAACTACGATGGGTGCACCCCTAGTAAATGTTTTTCTCCTGCTGTTTTTTTTTTTTTTTTGGCTGCCTGTTGGTCAGGTCGTTATTGAAGATGCTGTTTGTTATAATTTGTCTGTGTTTCTGTTTCCTGCAGATGTGCAGCAGCTGTTTGTGATCAAAGAGGAGTTTCAGCCTGAGCAGCAGAACTGGTGTCCCAGTCTGGACCAGGAGGACCAAAAGCCTCCAGGATTTAAACCGGGAAAAATGGAGAGCGACATCTCAGAGGTCACCTTCAGTCCAGACCTTGTGAACTTTGAAGAAGATGAAGATCCAGATCTGTATTCAGATTCTAAAGATCAAAGTTCTGATTTTTCAGAAATCGAAGTCAGTGACGGAAACTGGGAGGACATCAGTGAATCTCAGTCGGCCTTAAATCCAGTGAGAAATGATAAAATTCCTGTAGGTGATACAGGATCTGCGAGCGAAAAGATTTACAGCTGCACTGAATGTGGTAAAGCATTCAATCGCAAGTCTTGTCTGATAAGACACGAAAGAATCCACACTGGTGAAAAACCTTTTAGCTGCTCGGTTTGTAAAGCAGCTTTTGCATTTAACTATCTCCTGGTGCAACACACAAGAACCCACAGTGGAGAGAAACCTTTCAACTGCTCTATTTGTGGTCAGAAGTTCAGTAGGAAGGACTGTTTAAACTCTCACATGAGATGCCACACTCAAGAAAATTCATACAGCTGCTTTTTTTGCAACAAAGCTTTTCCGTGGAAAGAAAAGTTAGAGGAACACACAAGAACTCACACTGGAGAGAGACCTTACAGCTGCTCAATATGTGGCAAAAACTTCAGCCGCAAATATATTCTGACTTGCCACATGAAACGTCACACTGTAGAGAAACCTTTCAGATGTTCCATCTGTCAGGCAGCTTTCAAGTGGAAGCAGAATCTTGTGCGTCACACAAGAACCCACGCAGGAGAAAAATTTTTCAGCTGCTCAGTTTGTAAGGCAGCGTTTGGAAGAAAACAGGACTTTGCGGAACACGCACAAATCCATGCAGGTAAATAATCTTACACCTGTATTACCATATTTTTTTTGGCCTATAAGTCACAGATTTTTTGCAAAATTTACATGACCTGCAACTTATAGGCCGAAGTGACGTATTTATGGATTTTCCCCATATTTATAAACCATTTTTTGGCTGAGATATGACCGTTTTCATTCATTCTGACTGAAACATTTTTGAGCAGTGCCACTTTCAGCCACTTGATGGCAGCAGAGTAGTAATAAATAATGTGGCATGCTGTTGTATCATGTAATAGGTAAACGTGGCTATAATGACAAATTCAAAAAAAAGTTCAAGACAAAAACAATTGGACTTTATTTATTATACTTTATACTTTTTTTTTTTCTTGAACTTTTTTGAATTTACCCTTTCCTGGATGACTGAGAATCTTCACCAGCTTTTAATGACTCAATCGGTTTGCCACAGTCCCCCCACCTTCATTCTGCTCCTTGCTTGGAACCGTCAAAACAGCTGCACCGCCCCGGCGAAATGCAGCTAATTTGACCATTAAAGTGCATTTATTAAGTAAATGTTAGACTGAGACACACCTTTACTATAATTTCAAGTAAACAATTAATTGTTTTTAGGCGTTTATCTTGTTAAATTTGCACAGCGGCTCGTCGCGTGCACGCATTCACTTCCACGTATCAGCTTTTGAAATGCAGTTGATTTGACCGTCAAAGTGCATTTATTAAGCAAAAGTTGAACTGAGACACACCCTTAATATAATTTCGAGCAAACAAACAATTGTTTTTAAGTGCTAATCTTGTTAAAGTCCTCCCGTGTGCGCTCCCGCGACCGCCATTTGGCAGCCCATCGATTTAATTTTTTTATTTTATTTTTAATTTTTTTGGCACAACAACGGTCCACATTTCTGGGTTGTCACCGCTGACGCGTAACAAACGTGACGTGTCAACGATGACACATAATAGATGCGACGTATACGGCGAAGAAGTGGCATATTTATGGATTTCTCCACTTTATTAGACAAATATGAACTGATGCAACTTAAAGTTGTGGCGCGACGTGTATGGTGGAAAATACGGTACCTCTGATCAAAGTTTTAGGAAGTTTAGATGCCACAGGTCACACCAAGTGTCACAAAGAAGAAATATGTCTCAGCTGAATTATTAATAACACAGTTTTTCAATATACTTTATCAGGGTACACCATAACACACTATAAAGAGAAGCTGTTTAGATACTGAAGACTTGCTCAGATACCTGAGACCAAATCACATCAACAGAAATGGTTGTGCAGTTGTAAACTGTGATTACAGCTGCTTTATAGATACTGATGCTATTAATGACCATTAAGGCTTAAAGCACAAGATTCACAAGTGCCTATGTCTCATTGTAATATACTGACGAGTTAGCTTAATTTTACTGTATACGTTGTTAAAGGGACATACGTAATAAGATCCTGTATTTCTGATCCCTGTGAGATTTAACCGAACATTCATCTGTATATTGATTCCAACGAGTCATCTTTTTCTTGTCGGCTTTTAAATTTGTCCTGAGTAATAAATCATGCTTTTGATAATCTTTCAGCTTTCTTTGAAAACTGTCTTATTTAATTTATTTAACCTTTTATTTCACCAGGAAAATCCCACTGAGATTAAAAATCTATTTAGGAATATAATCCTGGCCAAGACTGGCAGCAGCACAGAGGTTACAGAACGTTCACAACAAAACCCGAAAAAGTTAACGCCGTCATAAATAAATAAATTAAAAGTTTCCTCGGTTAAAACATTTACAGATGATTCCTTCTCAAAATCAGTAAGAGCAGCCGTAAAAAACATTTAGTGACAACAGCTCCTTTAGGTTCATGTATTTCTGCAACTGGTTCCAACAAGATGGAGCAAAAAAACTGAAACATTTCTTTACAAGTTCAGTTCGTACTTTAGGCACTGAGAGTAAAAATAAGTTCTCACAACGAAGAGGGTATCCTCCGGTGGACTTTCTCGTTATAAAGGCCAATGAATACAAAACAAAAAGTCCTAGTATGGCCTTATAAATAAAAATATGTCAATGGTGAAGTCGACGAGTGGCCAACCCGTTTGTATAAAGTGCAGTAACGTGTAAAACCTTTTAAACCTGTTATAAATCTTAAACTCCATGATAAACAGTATCCAGCGAATAAAGACATTTTAAGTTTTTGTTTTCATACAATCAATGATGAATGTTGTAGATCCAGTTGAGTTTTCTATTTCTTAAAGACATACATTTTTATTTGTTTGTTCATATTTTAGCCCTTCACCTATCCATCCATCTATCTGCTCTTTTTTTTTTTTTTGAGAACACCCTTAACACTATCGCAGGATGTGGAATATTAGGTATTATATATATATATATATATATATATATATATATATATATATATATAT